CCAGGCCCCAATCGCTCCGCCGGCGGCAGCTACTCGCCTCCTCCGGCATTGACGTCCACTCTGGCCTGCCCGCCTCAGCTGAGCTTCCAACACAGAGACGCAAGGCCGTGGGGCCGCCCCCTCTGCTCCGCCCCGCCCTTAGCGGAAGTGACGCACAGGCCGTTCTCGTTTACCCGCTTGCAGGGTGTGTTTTCTCCGCCTCCTTCTGGCCGCCCCCGCCCCCACGCATGTGCAATAGAGCCCGACAGAGCGGGAGACTGGAGACCTCGGGGAAACGTGCTTGTGTGCACGCGCGTGTCCGAGCCCGCAGAGGCGTGGCTTAGTAGTGGAATATATTATGCAGTTAAGGTTTTGCGGGAATGCTTGACCCAAAGGAATCTGTTTTGTTTTTTTTTTTTTTTTTTTTGTGCCAACTCCCAAGTCTTTAAAGGCTCTGTCCGCGCCCGGGGGACCGCGTTACCAGCAGTCACGAGCGATAGGACCAGGCGCCTTCCAGGCGGCTGTTATTCCTGGCGGCACGTCTGAATTCGTTCCTGGACATGACCAACCGCTTAAATATCATCTAAAAGCGCTTTTAAATATATTATCTTATTGGAACTTAGCAAATACTACCCCACAAGTGGTCCCACACTTAATGCTTATTTTTTTCCAGGTCCGAAATTTTATGCATACCAGGTCAGTAAGCTACAGCCTTGGGGCACATCTGGTCCACTGCATGTTTTGATGCAGTTGGTTTAAGAATGGTTTTCAAGGGAACCAGCAGTTAGCGTAATGGCTATGTCGCTGGACTCCCACGTAGTTGACCACTGTTCGAGTCCCAGACCGGTGGCTTAAAACTCACGCCGGGCGCGTGTGGGGCGCGTGTGCGGCGCGTGTGCGTACGTGCCCAAGATCCCGAGAGGAGAATAGAGGAGAAGGGATTGCAGCGTGACCATCCCCCCTGGGGGGTGATTTCTCGCTTTCTGTCTCTCTGTCTCTCTCTCTGTTTGGCGAGCACACAAGCCCTATAGCAAAAACCTCTCCAAAAAAAAGGAAAGTAGAAAAGTAGTCTTTACTAGTTCTTAACTTCAAAATGACCGTTAAATTCTGCCCTCAAGACTCACCTTCTCATGGCTGTCAATGCTTTAGCATCCTGTATAATTTTTGTAAAGTCCTTAAGGAAGAGATATAGTAGAGACTAGTAGTATTGTATAAAAACAAACGAAAAACCTGAAGGGAAGCCAGCTTGCTAGGCTCTTGGGGCACATCCCAAGAACTAAGAATGGCTTTCACATTTTTGAATGGCCAACGTGTACATCCAAATGCCCGGTAACCCCCAGCAGTGTGTAAGTCAGACAAATCAATTTAGCTACAACATAGTTAAAAGATTTATGCACATGGGACCAGCAGATAGTGTAATGGTTACATGGCTGGACTCCCATATAGCCAACCACAGGTCAAGTCTTGGACCTGATGGCTTGAAACTCATGCTGAGTGCATGTAAATGAGAGCCCCAAATCCTAGGGGGAGAATGGAGAAGAAGGCCTTCCGCTGGGAGTGGAAGAGAGGGATTTTAACTTTCTGTTTCTCCAGCAAGCATACGTAACCCATAGCAAAAATATCTCTCTCTCTCAAAAAAAAAAAAAAAATATATATATATGTGTGTGTGCACACATTAAATCTTAGAGGAGTATAGAAGTAACTTTAGCTTTTGAGAGATAGTTCTCCCCGCTATTAAAAAAATTATTCTGACACTTGTTAACGTGGCAAGGGAGACTATCAGGGCTTTTGCAATAGGTGTCAAGACTATCATCATAAGGGAGAAAGATTGGGCTTAAATCCGAATACAACAAAAGAGAGTTAGAATTTATATCCTACGAGTAAGGGGTTGGTGAATGGAAAATTACTTAGAGGTGACATCAAGTGTCTTTTTTGCTAAACCCACTTAAGATTCTTGCTGAAGACAAGTGAGGACAGTCAGTTATCAAGGGTAGGGGATTCTCTCTAAACTGACTTTGCAAATTCTTGCTAACACGGGGCTTAGGCAGACCTAAGGCAGGGTCCTACAGGTGAAGCCTAGTTGAGAAGAGGGCTCAAAGGGTCCTAACTGAAGTTTATTTAAGGAGAGTGTTTATTCCCCATATCCTCTCCCCGTTTTCCTTCATTTTCTGATTTAGTCTGAATCAAATACCCAGATTTTTCTCCTATAAGAGAAGTTTTCAAGTAACTCTCCTTTTTCTTGCTTGCCTTTACCCTCCCTTACCCACCATCATACCTTTAATTGGTCTTGAGGTCTGCTGAATCTTCTTGCAGAGTCCCTTAAATTTTTCCTCTACGTTCCCATTTCCACTGTTTGAGTTCAGGCTTTCATCCTCACTTTTCTGTCTCATATAAACTGGTTTTCCAGCTTGTAACTAACCTCTAACCCGGTTAGTCTCTACTGTGCAGCCAAAATAATCTTTCAAAAGTGCAAGTCTGATCATGTGTATTTTTCCTGATTAAAAAGTTATCAAGCCATAAGAGATGATAGGCTCTGTCTGTTACTTTTACCACTTAAAATTTATTTTCTTTAAAATGTATTTACAGAGAAAATGGCAGAGCTGGAGCCAGAGAGAGCTCTCAACAAGATCTTGATACCAAAATCTACCTGTAGCTTCTGCTAGCCTGGACCATGAGCACACCCGTGCTTGGCATGTACAGCTAGCTACTCCTCACTTAACAACCAACCTGTCTGCAATCCGGCCTCTAACACAGGCAATTCACCTTTTCAGTCTGTATGGGTCTCAGGAATGCTCCGTTTCAGTCTTTGTCTCATGTCCACAGTTAGTTACTATTCACTACACAGTATTCACAGTCACACAAGACTAAATGTTTCATTTATAAATGTATACTTTATTATGCACCTACAATAGTATTCAGAATAAATTAAAATGACTATGCCAGACATGTTATTGTGTTGTGCTCTGATCTCTGGCACTTATCTAATGTATGTTTTCTTAAAATTAAATTTTTAATTTTAAATTTGCCATACGGCACACACACTTGCTGGGAGAAAGACAGGGAGAGAAACAGGGAAAGCGAGAAATCACCCAGCAATAGGGGAGATGACCACACCACAATCCCTTCTCATCCATTCTTCTCTGCATTTTGGACATGCTCACACATGTGCCCACGGGCCACAGGGGTTTGGGACTCAAACTGTGAAGATGGCCATGTGAGATCCAGCATCTTAATCACTTTGCCAACTGGCTGGCCCTGATGTGTGCTTTTCATATGGAAAGAATGACATCATTCTAGTTGGTATTGCATGCTTTCTACTGAAAAACACATGCCCTATAGAGCCATGATGTGCCACAAGACATCTGCCTTTAGTTTTTCCTTTATAGACCAGTTCACCTAGTCAAGGCAACAGAACTTAGTTGTTAAGTGAGGCATGCTTTTACTCAGAGAGGTCTCCACACACAAATCAGGAACCTTCCCATGTGGCTCTGCATCACAGAGCACTGCATTTTACTGCTAGGCTCTCATCTGGCCTCTACTTTCCCTATTACTCCTTGCTCCTTGCTCTTTACCCTTAGCCATACCCATACTTTCTTCTGGATCTAGCATAATATCCAACAACTAGTGGATGCTCTACAATCTGGTATTATTCAGTTGATTGTAATTTTTATTCAGATTACTAGTTTGACAAATTAAAAATGAAAAATAAAACCTATTTATGATTATATTGATACTGGGAAAATTTTTGAGAGAAAATTTTAATTTCAAACAAAAATTCAGTAGTGTGCAAAATAGGAGATTATCTCTTGTATTGATAGCACAGTAATGCCTTTAGGAAGACATCCATACTTGAAAAAATGTTAAATATAGTAATTTTTCAACCCTACATTCTTCTCCAGCTAGGTAAAATAGACCTCTGCATTGCTCCTATATTACTGATATCTGTGCTTGTTCCACTCACAAGGTTTACTGATTTCTTTACTTTCCTTGATATCCATAATCAATCCCTCTATTAACTATTAAAGTCTAGTTCATACTAACTTCTTCAAAGAACTTCTAATCTATTGTAAAACAAATAATTTTTGCCATATTGATGCAGGATATTTCTCCAAATAGCCTAAATGAGGAATATGTCAGAAAATACAAAAGACATCATGACTTTCCTGATGACCTAATATTTTATTTACTTATTTTTAATTTTTGTTTATGACACAAAGAGAGACAGTAAAGGGCATATTCGACAAGGTCTTGGCCTGTTGTGAACCTCCTGCCACAGCCTCCCAACTAGTTAAGATTTTAGGCACATACTTACGGTTTTCAGGTTGGTCCAGAAACTGAACCTGGGCTTCCCAGGCAACCTCCAGCCTCTCAAGCAGTGGCACTGTGTACCACCATGGATGAGCTAAATTACAGATTTTAAGCAAGGGAAATCCTGGATTATTCTGGATTATCTGTGTGGGCTCAATCTAATCATCCGAGCCCTTAGAACAAGCAGAAATTTTGTAGGCAGGGACTCAGAGACCTCTAAGTTGGGGGTGGGGAGCAATTTGACAAGGAATACAGGTATTGTTAAGGAGCCCAGAGGGGCTCCTGGTTGACAGCAACCAAGGAAATGGAGACCTCAGCTCCACAGCTGCAAGGAACTAGATTTCTCGCAACAACCTAAATAACCTGAAAAGCACGTTTTTCCAGAGAGCCACTGGTAA